GAGTGTCACCGACCTCCACCTTCATCCTGATCGTCTCCTAAAAGGTCGTATCCTCCGATCGTAGCTGATCGTAACCATTCAAGTTAACGTGTCGATTTACACCGACTTCTTTCCGTTCCTCTGTGGATCGCCGGACTCCTCAGCTGATCACAAGAGTTCTATTTTTTCTGGACGCCGGAGCATGGCGGATAAATGACTCTAGAAGTCTAGAAGTAGATTTCCTCCTCTGGAAGGACACAATCTACTGCTTATATGTCTATGTGTCTGTCTTTAGAGAGACAACTCGTTATCATGTGATTGAACGTGAATCCGCAGGTTCTTGTGAGTTCTTGTGATTCCTGCTGTCTGTAATCCGTCATGAAATCCGCCTCACAAACAGATCTGGTAGAAATTGGCAGACGGCGAAAATCACAGTTGCTCCGAATCGGCGCCGTTTGGAAGCGGTGGAAATCCTGGGTAACTCCAGACTCTGATACTCCACATGAGTGTCAGAGTCTCCAGTTTGACCACAGAGTCCTTTCAGGACCGCCGTTCTGTATTCGAGGAAATCCACCCGCCCTCACTGACGTTCAGTGGATTAACTCACCCGACAACTTCTCGTCACACGGAGGTGACCCACCTGGTCCTTGAGGAGATCTCCTCAAAGTGGCTCAGCCAGAGACCTATTAGTGTCCTCAAAGTGGCCTCATGAGTCTTACTGAGAGCGGTACAGAGCCCAGAACTCTCCAGGAGGTTCTGTTCAGAAAAGTTCTGGATGTGGATGAGAGACCAACTACGCCGAGCTGGTACTGCTCCACCTTCAACTCCATCTCATGAAACCCTCATTCTCCAAAACAGATTCAGAGGATCCAGAGAAATCTCTGTACTACAGGAGAAGAACCGTCCGGAGGTCCGATGGATCAGAATCTAAAGTTCTTTTCAGAAATCCTGGACCCTCATCCTCCTCTCTAAAGAGCAGAAGGTCCGCTCGGCTTGATCTCAGCTCCCAGTCCAAGTCCAGCATCCCTGACGGTCTGGGGATCATCAGAGTCCATGTCCTAGACTGAACCACATCTCCAGGTTTAGGAGCAACATCTGCTCCAACAGCTGATGCAGTGATCTTCTGGACCACCTTCATTAACCCCTCATGTGCTGTGGGACCACACGGAGACACTGACCTGACTCCTCTGTGTCTCCCTGTAGGTGGCGCTCTGGCTGAAGGTTTCCATGAGCGGCTGAGAGAGTTCCAGATGTTTGAGAGGACGTTTGAGGTACAGACAGAAGAGCTGCTCCATGCTGTCTTTGATTCCCTCAGACCAATGATGAGTGAGTGTAAATGACCTTTGACCCCACAGGAGTTCATCTCTCAGTCTGCTGTGAAGACCAAGTTTGAGCAGCACACGGTCCGAGCGTGGCAGATCACCGAGGCCATCAAAGCTGTGATGGACGCCATCAACATCGCCTCCGCCGACAAAAAGTCCGCAAAAATAAAAACGTCTTCAATGCCTCTGGTTTCCAGAACCACACAGCGTTTTTAACTGTGACCTTTGACCTCTAACAGGATCTTCTGCCTGGAGGAGCGGGAGGATCACAGGGACCGGCTGGAGTTCGTCCGGGGACAGATTAACCGCCTGACTGACAGCGTCAGAGAGAGGATCAAGACTCTGACCGATGAGGCCGCCGCCAAGGTGAGAAATCTGAGGGACGATCAGCTGACGCTCCGTTTAACCAGGACACACGTCTGATAATAACAGACAGATGAATACTAACATATATAAAAACATGTAGTAATAATAATAAATATTAAAAACATATAAATACAAATAAATATAAAAACATGTATAAATAATTATACACATAAAACATGTATTAACAATAATAAACAAACATTTCTTTAAACTGATAAAAACAGATTTTAGTCAGCAGAACAATTTGAACAGTTAAATCAACATTTTCATGTTTTCTTCTAAATAATTAAATTGTTTTGTGATTTTCTTTCTTGTAAATCTTTTTGTTTTCATTTTAAAAAGTTGGTTTAGTGACGGTGGTTTGGGGTTAAATTTGATGTTTCAGGAATATTTTGTGTGTTTTTTTCATTTATTTTAACGTGACAAAAGTTGACATTGATTTTTGTTTCTGGCACATTTTTAGGGGTTCATTCATATTTTCTGGTTCATGAAATATTTTGTTTTTCTTTTGATGAAATTTTTAATCAAAACTTTTTGGACTTCACAAGGTTTTTTTTGTTTTGAAAATATTTCTGTTTTTTACAGAATATTTGGGGGTTTAAGGAAATATTTTTCAGTTTATTTTTATTGTTTTAATTTTGTAAAATATTTGTAGTTTTTAGGAAACATTATTAGTCTGTGAATTATTTTGGTTTTGTGAAATATATGTGAAGTGAATTTTTGTTGCAGTGCTGTGATGAGGACCAACATTCACTGATCCTTCTTTCAGGTCGCTGCAGCGCTGCTGGACCAGATCAGAACCCTCCCTGTTCTGGTGGAGGAGTTCAGAGCGG